AGCTTATTTTTTACAAAAACAATTCTTTCGAACGACTGACTCTGCCAAGGAAACTGGCTTTGTTCTCCGACATAGCTGACTCGAAACAGCATGAAGTTGTGCGCGAAGTTGTGTATAGCTGGAAAAGGCTCTCACACGACGTGACGTGATAATCTTGCCGGATCATGACGAGAAAAATCTTTGTTCATCACGCACATAATGTTGAAGATGTTCTGTCCCAAAGTGGTACTTTGCACCCGCTGGAAGTCTTCAGCTCGTGTGACAAATTCAACAGCCAAGTATGTTCTGCATGGAATCGTCCACAATGGTTCCATCAGTTTAGGAACATACCTTGATGACAGAGTTACGCTAAAAGGCTTTCGAGTGCACAGAGGCCACTGTCGAAGAAAGCAAAAGAGCACACGCATTAAGGATTAAATCCTCAATCATGCGTATTGAGACAAACGACGTTTCTCCTCGCCACGCTGCTTGAAGCGAGGTAGCCTTATGCCGCTAATTCGTATTGAATGCCAGTATGCTCCCCTAAGAAAGCCCGTAACTTTTTCTGGGAGGTCCGCAGCAGATATGGAAGACGGTTTCGTAATCCCCGTCCGAAGACCTTTCGGTCGGTATACATCTCATCAAATGGCCACTTCGACCTACCATCCCTCCCTTGTAAGAGGATGCCCACTGGAGAACTAGAGCTCCACGGATTCACAGGTGTCAGGTGGCTCGCCCAAGTCTCTTCTTATCGTCCAGTTGCTATGAAAACATTTCAGGGCTCTGCAGTCTTGTGGCAGGCATATGGTGAAGCCTAACCTGAAACTGTCAAGAAAGCCTCTAGGCCGCACACCCTACTGACGGCTCCGAAGAAGATGTTTTTTTTTCATGGATTCGATACAATATCCCTGCTCTGCTTCGAGATTCTACCGGAACTATTTCGAATATGTCCGCCGAATATTGAGTTGGCCCATAAGTAATGGCGTTTTTTTTCTTATGCAAATTGTTATATAAAAAATGAAAATCGTTTCATTGAGTTTTGTGCTGTTCGGTAGGTAATTTTCCGTCCTGCAAGATAGTACGTTTGGCTTCCTGCTATTCCTTGATTTCTGTCGATTATTATTTGATTGAAACGGAGTGTCGAGTCGACACAAAAGTGATTTTTCGACATTTTTTTGCCCTTTACCTCGGCTAGATACCAATAAGAAGTTCAAAACGAAAAAAAAATATATCGAAATATATTGACCAAGAAAAGGCCGATACTCACAGCACTTGACACACCTGCTTCAACGCGCATTAGGGTTTGGTAATTTGGACCTTGTAAATATGCATCGCATGGGGTACCCCTTTTAGAGATGACTGCCTGCAGAACCTACCCCAACTAATTTTCGAACGTCTAACATCAACTGAGGTGGTGGTTGATAATGATAAGGAAGCATTGCATGACCTCTAATGATTATCCATCTTGGTATGAATTTCCATGACTAAGTCATTCAGTAAGCTCGCAGTTGGGCTCAGTAGGGCATTAGGTTAGATGCTTGTCTGTGAGGTAGAAATCGAAATCTTCGAATCGCTTGAACTATTGTAAGCATTCTTAAGAGACATAGACTTTTGGCCATATGCTTAGCAACTGGGCCTGTCCGTTTTAGCTTTCTAATTAGAGGTAAAATAGATAGGCTGTCAAAAATCCTCAATTCCGTCAACCTGACACTCCAGTTTGAGCACTTAAATATTATGGAAAACAAAAACTTCAGAAAAACTATGAGGACTGTCGTGCAAGGAATCCTCTGCAACGCGGTTTCAAATTCAGTAGCAAAACTTCTCGCCTTTAGCGCGATTTTTCAATTCAGAAAGAAACGCCATTACTTATGGGCTAACCCAGTGGTTTCGTCCCAATGCTGAGGTTTCTGGGTTCGGTTCGAGTCGAGAAAGTCGGACGTGACCATAATCAAAGACGATTATGTGGTGTGAAATCCCGTCTTACTTATTTTTACTCAGCGGTACCGCTGAATTCATGTTATAATTTTTTGTCAGAATAACTGTGGTATCGTTACAACTTACAATTTTCTGTATATACATACCTCATGCACTTTACTTCGAATTGTCGTTTTATGCATTGTTTGTAGGATGTTTTCAGTTGAGACAAGTGTTGTGCTATCATATATGGGTAAAGTCATGATTGCAGCTGTTCTGAAAATGCAGTATCCCTCCAGAAGCGCAGCCGCTGCCACCACTTTCAAATGGAGTACCCCGCGGCAGGTACAGCACGTGATCTGGGAAGTGGGGGTGTCAACGACTCCCCTCCCCTCCGCCGCCGGAAAGAAGGTCTCGGTAGAGCCCCCCTCTTTCCACAACTGCTGCCTACCACTTTCCTGAATTCCTTTCTTCCTACCAACCCAAAATTTTCGTCGACCGGGGGAGGGGAGGTCGTTGTCGTTGGAGAGCCACTACTATTTTTAACTACCAAAAATATTAGTTGTGTACAACTCTGGCGGCTCCACGAACTAGGGGGGGGGGTACGTAGCCAATGTGAAACGGAAAACACCGCGAAAAGTCATTAACCGGGAAATTTCCCAACGCAGGCAATTTCTCTCGAAGGCACATACGAACCCCTCTCCCAACAACGACCAAATACGACCCCCCTCCCCAGCTGCCTAATACGACCCCCCCCCACTGGTTTCCCACAACGATGCTGTACCTGCCCAGCGGGCTCTTCATCGCTGGGATACGGCGAGCACGTATTGTCGCAGGTGCAGTCATCTGAGGAAAAAGCAGCTGTGGTCTTTTAGCTGATAATTGAGATCTGATAATAGCCAGTACTCGAGCGCTGTTGTACTAGTGTTTACTTTATTAGTCCTTCTCGGTGAAAGGAGCATTTTTCTTTGGACTGTTCCTTCTTGTGGGTTTTTCACATTTGATACCATACGCAGTTGACAGCATGTAGGCACTGCTGTGTAAGCCACATTTCACACAGTTCCTCTCCGTCCAGCTGTGATGCCGTCAACATCTTGTGACGATCGCTTGCTTTGTTGTTGTTGCTGCTGTTGTTGTTGTTGTCAATCCGATCCCTTCTCGTTTCTTCTTGTTGATTGATGAACTTTGGTATACTTCTTCTTCGCGTGATTATTTGTAAGTGTTCAAGAGTAACCGGAAGAAAATAAATAATTTAGATCAGTAATTCTTTAGCTTGGGTATTGTTGTCCATGTTTATTCGTGGCAGTACTGCTTTTCTTCAAACATACCATCTTACTGATTAAATCAAAATAAAACTAATGGGCGTCAGTTGATGAAGGGGATAGTGTGTTCATGGTATCGAGCAGCCTGCATATCCTACTAGATAATTCGCTAATTATGTGTGGGCTTGTGTGTGTGCGTATGTGTGTCTGCGTGTCTGTCTGTCACGAAATTCATAGCGCCCGTCCCAGTAGCGTGAGACATTGGTTCCAAGAAGTGATGTAGGGGTGTGACGGGAACACTATTGGTGGGTGGCAGGAAGTGATAATTACTGGTAAGATCTCACAAGAGGCATTGGAAAGGGAAGGTCACCGAGTCCATAGCGCTGGTCACAGCAACAGTGAGGGCGATTCCATGGCATGTTATACGGTGTGGGACAGAAACATTATTGGTGGGCAGGAGCTGTTGACAGCTGACGTTTTGATAAAGGTTGTCAAAAGCGTAAGGTCAATGTATTCACATCGGGCTAATGCCATTGGACTCCAGCAATTTCGGCACCGAGCTCATTTTTAAATTGCCTAAGTCACCAAACCCGCTGAAAACATGTACACAAGGGTTATTTACCATCGTGATTACAATTATGACACTCATTCTTGGCGCTGGCGCCAAGGGATGACACTACGATTACCTCTTGGGCTCAGCCTTAGCGGAGCGCAGATAATCGTAGTGTCATCCATTAGCGCCAGCGGCAAGAGTGAATGTCACATATTCGTAATCAGGATGTTAAACTACCCCTAAATACAAGTTTTTAGCGGATTTGGTGACTTAGGCAATTTAAAAATGAGCTCGGTGCCGAAATTGCTGAGTCAAACGGCATTAGCCTCACATCGCGGGGGTCCGACGTCAGCGAGGCTTTGGTTCCTGCAGTGGTATGGGATGTGTACGATGGGATTAATCAACAGTTGGCTGACAAAGATCTTCATAAGTGATAAGGGCTGTAAGACGTTTCTTTGTACAGATTGTGACAGGGGCACTGTTTGCGCGGTTGCTGCAAGTAATCACAATCAATTGATAGGAAGAGATGAACATCTTCCACATATCTTGCTACTTCCTACCACTATCACTTGCCAAATAATGCATAATCAATTGAACTTGTCCTTTGTCAGATTCACTAGGGAGGTATATTGTGCACGCGCCTGAAACGGGATAATGCGATGATATGTTAGAAGACGTAAGTTGGACGAAAAGAAGGAGAGGGAACAACACTTCAGAGCGAGGACATCCTGCCAATGGTAATATGTAAGCTCCCCGCGTGGCGCACACTCTGGTTTAAACAAGGCAAAATGAAGTTCTCATTTTCACCGCCATCCATGGTGTCACACTTGTGCCGATCACAACTGCGGTCAGTAGTTAAATTCAGCCTTGTCACGGTTAAAGTTAAGAATTAGCGAGAGAAACGATCGATGGCTGACGAGGAGCTATTTTAATCCTATTTTTCTACACTTTCACTGAGTGCGGTGATCATTTAGCACATTTGCGTATTCTAACTTGCCTTAGGGAAGAGCGCCTGGTAAACCAGGCCAGTCGGCGAAGACGGGTCCCAAAGTGGAGGCAGGAGCGTTTGACGTCAGCTGGGCGATCCGACTGGTGATTTTCATGTCTGAAAAGAACTACTATGCTCACTTTAGAAATACCATTCACTCAAACTTGTGTGCGGTCTGAAGACTAGCGAATGTGGTGATGGAAACAGAGCGAGAGTGGTGTAAACTGGTCTTCTAGTTATCACGTTCGTTATGCCAACTTCTTGATGTTCTTCAGAATTACTGCACATTTTGTGGGCGTCGACAATGCCTCCACCCAAAGGAAGTGGTCAGCGAGGTGGTTGGCGAACCTCTCAAAAACAGCAGCGAGAACTGGACGCGAAAATGCACCAAACACTTCGCACCCTTATGTTCGCGGCATATGAACGAGAGGAAGCGGAGCGGCAGTATGTTTTGGGCGTAAATGTTTGAAGATTGAAACAACTAGAGTTTGAATTTCAGGAAGGCTTTCGCTGAAGCACAACGTATCGTATCGTAAGCTTTCCCACCATTATCAGCAATGTGTTGATGATTATTAATCAAAAAACAGCTTGTAAGTTCAGAGGTAATCAGAATGATGCGCACATAGTGAAAGATGAAGATGAACTGGCGGATGAGTGTGATCTGGACCTGGAACCGCGTTTGGAAATGAAGCCTGTTAGACATCCGGTGCCAGTGGAACCTGAACCTCAACCAGAAGCTGACCGCATAGCTGCCTCTGAGCCGTCTCTGCAGGTGAGAGTTTCTTGTGGCTACCAGTAAATTCCTCCAAAAAGTTTAGTGTGTAACGGATGGGGAGGCTTTTGGAAGATGGAATTTCTTCTCCCTCCCCACCTGCGTCCCTTACGGGTGCGGTCGTTATAATGAGTTCTTTTTAGTTTGAGCAGGGAATCGTTATATTGCGAAGTGACTTGCAGAGGGCCAAGAAATCCCCGGTCGTGTAATTGCACTCTCATAAGCTGTAGTGCCTTATACAAAATTAACCCTAAAATTTTGAAAAAGAATGAGCGTAGCAGAAGTTTTCTACCAGCTTCTACTGGTCAGAACGATTTTTTAGCCTACAGCGCAACAAAAAGGAGACTTGTTGGACGACGGCTATCAGAATGAAGTACGTAATCACGCTGAACCATTTAACTTACTTCAACCCCGCTGAACTTCATGGCTGTCAATGAGCAATCTTGTTTTAGGGACTGTTTGATGACGAGGAGCTTTTCGACATGCCTGAAGAGAAGGTCCAGGTATTGTGTCTCGGAATTAATCCTGATATATACCATTTTTTACTTCAAATTCACGACTTTTAAACCAAAATCGTTTTCGAACCAAATCCGGGACTTACAATTAGTTACATGTGCCCCATTGAACACTACGACAAGCCCCGCCCCTACAGCCACGCCCATATCTCAGCGTGGTCGTCTTGTCGCAAATTTTACGTTATAACTTCTGCTTTTGTGAATTTTTGCACCTTTGTTATTTCGCACGCACTAGCTGAAAAGGAATGTACATCGGCTTCCCGTAGACGCGCATCTATGAACAGGCACATTAGGCTCCGTCTCTTTGCCACGCCCAATTTTGCAGTTTTCGTAAGACTTTATTATTACTTTTTGTTTCTGCATTACTGCCACGTGAATTCTCGCCCACTACGGGAAGCTCTACCCACTTTGAGGAATCCCGCTCACTTTTGGAAAGTAGTGCACATCGGCAGCATAGAGTCCCAGCTTGCATGCTAAGCTCTCGTTTCTCTCTAGCCTGTCGAGTTGATCATTTTCAAAAGTGGGAGGGTCTTCTTCGAAGTGGTAGGAGCTTCTCATAGTTGGCGAGGCTTCACGCAGCAGTACAAAAATGCTAAAATTGAAAGAAATATCAAACTTCCGTAAAGAGCCGCAAAAGAGCATAGACAAGGGATTTCGCTTAATATATCAGTGCATAAATGCGTAATAAAACTTAGAGCGCGTTCAGACTTCGCGATCGTGCGATTGGATCGCACGATCGGATCGCGCGACTCGGATCGCTCGACTAGGATCGCGCGATCGGATCGCTCGACTAGGATCGCGCGATCCAAGAGCGCTATTGGGATGGGTGAAATTCAGCGGGGTGGGGCGTCCATGTTTCACGGATAGCGGGTAAAAGATGAAGCGTTTTCAGAGCGAAAAGACAATTCCATGAGATGCGATCGATAACAGCAACAACATGCATCACTGATGATTTAACGGAACTCGCCCGGTTTTCCCATGACCCAGTTTCCTTAGAACGGAAAATATCATATTACATGCGTCAACGAACTTCATACTATACCATTAATGTTTGGAACAAATCTCTAGAATATTTGAATAAATATTGTTTGATTATTCTAATAATATAGCAGTCATTCAGTAAAACAGCTATACTAACATGTGATGCGAACAACTCTGAAAAAGACTTTTTAAAACAGAGAACGACGACGACTACGGCGATATCCGTGAAACATGAACGCCCCCTTCCCTGCTGAATTTCACCCATCCCAATAGCGCTCTTGGGTCGCGCGATCCGATCGCACGATTGCGAAGCCTAAATGCACTCTTAGTAACATCTGAATACGACTCGGCTTTACAGTGATTTGCGTGGCCCATATACAAACCCGTGTTTTGATGTCCCAAATGAGCCCCGTGGGATGCGTGATCGGTTCTGGGTGAAACTGATTCAGAATGTATCCTGGGATACGCCCGCAAATAAACAGATTCTTCAAACAGCGACAGCGCGAGCATCTTCTACCTTTGGCTTCTACTACTCTGGCTCGAGCATGACAGCACGCGGCCGAATGAAGGAGTTTTATGAAGGCGATGTTCTCGTTAACCAAGCAATATTTCGAGTACGGACTCAGGAAGCGAGTGACTACACTTTTGAAGGCAGTTGTCGCGATAATTTGGTACTCTGATTAAAATGGTAGCAGGGGCTCAATAGTCAGGAAAGTGGCGAAAAGCGAAGTGAAACAGTCAAAAACCTGCCAAAAAGCCTTTGTTCTACACGACTCAGAAAGCAATTTCGGACGAGTTTCCCGTTGGCATCGTGCCAATAACCGCTACGGTAGATACAGATGCATGTACTCATACATCCATGGCGCATCGCATCCGCTTCATGTCAGTCAATTCGCCTCACATTGTACTTTGCGTATGAAGCGATAGGAGCATAATCGGCTGTATGCTATACTTCTCCCTCGGAGGGGAGAGTTCCCCCAGTAAATCTCCGCTCTCTGCCGTTATCTCAATCAATGCCCTCGCCTCTCTGCTTCTGCCTCTCTGCATCTATGTCTCCCCGTTCTCGCGGAATCTCCCCCAACGACATGGGCTGGAGGTAGGGGAGCATATCGATTATACTCTGCGCTGCACTATATTCGCACAGAGCATGCGCTAAAAGAGTATGGATGCAGAGCGGTGAGAGAGAGAGCTAGAAAGGCGAGGGCATCAGTAGAGATGAGGGAGAGAACGGAGGTTTACAAGGGGATATCTCCCCTAGAGGGGAGTATAGCATACGGCCCCAGGGTCGGTCGGACTTTCGTGGGAGGGCGGACGCGCTTGGCGTCCGGGTCGCTATGTTGCAGCTTGATAGGGCGCTATCCTATTCTTCTTCCTAGCGTTCTTGTCCAACGTTTGTCGGGTACGCTTTTTTCACCAAGGCTTTCCAATGATCCCTGTTCCAGACGTCGGCTGCGGACAGACCAGCAGCATTCATGTCCCTCTTCAGGTTGTCTATCCATCGCAATCTAGGTCGGCTATTTGGACGTTTGCCGGCGAATACGATCCTCTCACCAGACTTAAAGAAAGACAATTCCCGCGATCAAGTTTGCGGGTAGTTGGTGCTCCGTCATGAACCAGTATCCCATAGGTAGCTCCTCAGTAGAAAAAGAAGCGAAAAAACCTCGGGAACACCTTGAACACAGACTTCACCTCAGCAGTCTTGGACGAGTACGTCGGGCGCGAAGGACGCGCTCTCCATAGCGATTGGAGCGCAAAGCTTGAGCCGTGGGACCGTGGCGTTAGTGCCAGGCAATTCCTGGCCAAGCGATGCGATATTCGTGTTCGGAGGATGAAGGTCTGGGAACAAATCTTCAATCTTTTTTTTTGAAAAGCTCGATGGTAAAACTGGTCTGATGTTGGAAGATAGTAACAATTGGATAGTGTTCCCATCTAAAAGATCATTCAGGTGAGTCTGAAAACACACTAACTGCTCTTCATTTCTTATCCTCCTCTTGCCATGAGTACGGAAGACGAACTACCTGCTCTTCAGATCACGTCCTTCCCATCGCTTGCAGGGTATGCTGCTCTTTTGTTCACATCCTCCTAATTAGAATCGCGCTTGCAAAGAACCATATGGAACCCTAAAACAGCCTAAGCGTCTTCATTTATGTCCAACGGTGCGAGGTTTGCGCTTAATCGCTATGGAAAGCGCGGATCACCGAAGATGGCAAAGTGCCAGAAGCGCCGCGCGCGACACGTGCGCGCGAGGCGCTTCTGGCGCATTGCCATCTTCGGTAGGGATAGAAGCTGCTCGCGAGCCGTTGTCTCGTCCAGCCACAGCATGATGTCGCCACTGTTGCCACGCGCAAATGTCTCTAACTTCTTTATCGCGCCGTTTTGAGAGGCGGTATGATCTTTGTGAACGCGTATAACAGTTTAAAAGGCCCGGAGTAATTTTGAGAACCACTTGATCGCGGTGAGTATCTCTAAATATAGCATCAGGAGGTCTTCTTTGAACATGACCACACCAGCGGAAGCGAGATGCGGCAAGGGAGTTGGCAATCGGCTGGACTTGATCCTACCACGAACGGTTTCATTTCGAATTCGCTCGAGCCGTGTGTGTCCCAAGCTCCATCGCAGCATTTTCATCTCCATGACACCATAGGCTCTTGTTTCCTCGGCCGTCATCTGCTTGGTCTCCGCTCCATAGGTGGCGACTGGTCTTACGACTGAAGTGTAGATCTTGGACTTCAGGTGAATTGGCATTCTCTTATCGCAGAGAATGCCAGTGACAGTCCTCCACTTGTTCTATGCCGCGTTTGCTCTTGATGTTGTGTCGGCCTTGGCAGCTAGCGTAGACCCGATGAGGAAAGTTCGTCGTCATGGTCAGAGTGCCATCAATCACAATTGGAGAGGTTACTATGGCAGTGCACATGTACTCGGTTTTGTTGATGTTCAGCTTGAGCCCATGTGCAACGAGCTCCTTCTTTCATCGGTTGTTCTTGGACTGGCGAAGATGGCTCTTTCCTAATCTTCCTTGTTGCTAAGTTCAAACACATATATTGAACAGCAGTGATCCTTGGTGTACGCCTACGGTAACCGGGAATTGTGGAGTGTCTCCCACAGGCGTCCGGATACAGGTTGTAGAGTGGCGGTAGGTCAGCTGGACGGCTTTTACAAGCGCTTCTGGTACTTGCTGATGTCGAAGGGCTTCCCAAATAGTTGACGGGGCACCCGGTCGTAGGCTTTCTCCATATCTAAGAAAGCCAGGTGAAGTGGCTTATTCCACTCTCGGGCCTTTTCCATCATGCGACGAGCAACGTGGATAGCGTCGGTGGTACTGTGCTCTGGTCGGAATCCGCACTGCATCTCACTGATATCCACTGTTTTCCTGAGTCTGGCTTCCAGTACTCGTTCGAATATCTTCAGAGTATGGCACATCAGACGAATAGGTCGATAGTTGAAACAGTGAGCGATATCTCCCTTCTTTTTGTATATAGGCACCGTGACACTTTTTGACCAGCCTTTAGGGATATTTACCCTCCGCTATACACTTGCTGAAGAGCTGTGTGAGAAACGAGCGCCCTCAGAAAGTTCCAGACTTCCGCTGGGATGTCGTCTGGTCCAGTAGCTTTCCCGTTTTTCTTCTTTTTGATAGCCACTTCGACCTCGTCCTCGGTGATTCGAGCAGGGCACGCCATCGCGTTGTGATCATTTCCCTCTAAATACGACGCTCCCCCCCCCCCCCCAAAACAAGGGTCTTAATACGACCCTCCCCCTGTCACGAGGGTACAAATGAAAAGAAGCGCAAAAGGGACGAAGAAAATGACAATAAAGAGAACTAGGCTATTGAACTATTCCTACGCCAAAAACTCAAAAAAATTATGCTGAAACTTTATCTATAGATGTATTCGATGTCCTGATCACCAGTATGACATCATTTCTCCATACCAAAGCTATTTAGCGCTTTGTTGAGGCTGAAACTGGCGCAGGTGACCATAGTGTCCTACGTTAGCGCTGGCATCATC